GATCAAGAGAAAAAAGGCTGGCGACACACGTAGCAGAATAAAGACTGATGAAAGATCAGCGCAGTGAAAGCCAACCAATAAACTTGACACCCAGAGACTGACCCAAGGAAACCATCCTCTGGTTGAAAAAAACAAGCAGTGAATTAAACATGCATGGGGAGGAAAAAATGTGCTTTCCTACATTCAAAGTGAGGACAGCCTTTTGTTTCATAATGCATTTTTGTATTTACAAAAAAAAATTGAAATGATCAATTTAGAAAAGACTTTAAAAATTTTGTCATAAGCTGATCAGCACCTGCCATGCTTGCCAAGCATGTGAAATAGAAAATTGGCTCATCTCTCCTATAGAAAGAATCTCTAGGAGTCTAGCATGTGTTTCCTCTGAAGACAAATCACTGCTGTCAATCTATCCAGCTCGTTACATGGAACTTCGAATGGTTTTTATGACGAAGACTACAGGTAGATGAGGGCAAGAAAGAGTTCAAGGAGAAATGAGGACAAAATGAAGATTGTGAATTGACAAAAGTCCCCTCAGTTCAGGTGAAAAAGATGAAACTCATTATATTGCTCAATACCAAAGAAAAAAGCAGGCTCTATGCAGTTGCCTGGTTTATTAGCCAGAACATGGTGTACTTTTCCAGTAGGATCCAGTAGATGGATGTGTGTGCATAGGAGCACATGCTTGGGTATATGTAATTGACAACATCTTGAAAATGACAAGTCAGTACCTATCAACACATCTAGGAAGGCAGGTCCTTTGGACAGCAAGTGGGAAGGCTCCAGCATGGTTCATGGAAGCTGCTGTTTGCACTTTCCTTCAAATCTCAGACTGGGCTCATAAGTGCAAGAGGCGTGAAAAAGCCTGGATTCAAAATTTGGCTCTACCACTGATTGTGGACAAGTTTTTTTCTTAACCTCTTAAAGGCTCGATTTCCTCAACTGTAAAAGTAAGCGTAGTAATTGTATGTAATTCATAGCATTTATGAGGATTTCATGCAATCATATATGTGAAGAACATTTCACATTACCTGGTACTTAGGAATATAAATGGCCAGGATCAAAAAGACCAGGCTGGCTCTCCTTCCTCCCACACCTAAGCCTTTATATTAGAAACTGAACAAGGGTGTGCATTCACCAATATACCGTTGCTTTACACATCCTCCCGCAGTGCTCAGATCCCAGAACTCTCATCACAGCCTAGGAACCTCTGACTGGGTTGCACTTTGAGACTGGGGCTACAGAAGGAAGGGTGGTCCCCACTGCACTATGCAGTGCCTCACATTGGATTGACGTGTCCAGAAGAAGCCTTTGAGCGCACCGGAGCCTTCTCAGCCTTTCCAGCAGATTATCAGTGCACAGCACCCAAAATTTAACTGGTGTCAAAGATCCATGAAAAGGCAAGACTCAAATTCAAAAGGACAGCAAAAGAGGAATTATAACATTATGTACACCTGGGTGAAATAAGGCAAATTAGATGAAATTAATGGGCCTTTGAATTAAATTGGGAACATCTTTGCTGCCCTGTAACGTTCTGCTATGGAGACTGAAGCAGGAATGGAAAGGGCAGCCGCTTTCCCTGGGTTTGTATTGCTTGGCCTTCCTCTCTCCCAGAAGGGTCACACCAGAGCCTCCCTTTCTGACCGGAGGCACCGGAAGCCTTAATTGCAGCTCAGCCCCCTGTCTGGCTCCTTGCTCTGCTGCACGGCCTAATCAGTCTTCTTTGACCGGAAACTCAATATCCCTGCAGTAAGTCTGCAATCGCGCTTTGAAGTTATTTGCATCCAGTCAGAAGAACCTTTTAGTTCTAGTTCTAAATTGAGTGCCTCAGTGGTTTCAATCCCCTGATAAACAGGGCAGCTGGATTCTACCGCAGTCACACTGGGCCACAGTTCTTAGCCACATCAGTGAATTGATGCATAAAACTGACAGCATTGTAAATCTCTTCATGGCGGGTAGGAAACGGAAGTAACCAGCACTAGTCAGTAAAACAGTTTTACGATGTGAAGAGTTTTGTTTCAAGGCAAGTAAGGCATACATGCCTTATCCCGGTTTGTTGAGGGCTCTTTGAGGTTTAGCTAAATTCCTGTAGGGAAGGCATGCTGTGATTTGGCTTGGGTATATCCTGGAGATAAGGATGTAGCCATTTACCACCCCAATTCTACTCCTTCAACTATTGGGTACCTGTCAGCCCCTTCCCCCACCATCCCATTCTGCTTCATGTGGCAGAGGCTATGGAGCAAAAGGGAGAAGGGCTTCAATTCCATTTTTCTCACTTACTATTCACTTTGGGTAACTCATACCCACCTCAAAAAGATGGGGAACAACTAAATGTAGTCATATGTGTAAGGTGCCTAGTAGAGGGCTGAACTCAAGTAGCCACTCAGTACTGTTACTTCCTGCCTATCCCTCTCTGCCTTCCCACACATCACAACCCCTTTCTACTGATGGCCCCTCTTTACTTGTTAGTGTTGGACAAAATATATTCCCATTATCACAAGCAGCAGCTTTGGCCTTCTGCATCAGCCCTGTCCACAAGCCCAGTAATGCACAGGCCAGCATCAGTATTTATCTCAAGGTGACACTTGTAATGGATGATTGGTGCACTTCTTAATCCATTTCTGTAATCCTTTCTGCTTTGCTTGCAGTTATTTTCAGGGCTTTAGCAGCAATAAAATGGTTCCTTTCCCAAGACAGATTTCATTCAATTTAAATCTGGATTGATTATGGCTAAACTTATGGCATGCCTTTACAGAGGCATGCCATAACACAGAAAAAACACAGCAATAAATTATTCACAGTAATTATTGAGCATTTTTTCAGCCCCCACAGTGTCCTGGGCTCTGCATATAACAAGGAAAAATCCCTGCCCTTGAGAATCGAAGCAGAGTTGTACATAAGAAAAGGCACTCAGGACAGGGCATCAGTCCAATTGCCATTTAATTCCTTGTGCAAGGGGTCATCTGTCTATACGGCCGTCTTTCAGCTGAATTCATGGGGTTAAGTGCACTCTTCACCCACTCCTGCCTTCTTTTCTTTCAGTTTCCCTCAGATGCATTCTACTGACAGCATCATTAGCCTTTGACCTCTATCCCAAAAAAGCACTCTTTACTGTTCCTCAGGCAGTTTTGGTTTAAGGCTAAGACACTTATTGGAGCTAGAGTCCAGGGTACACCTGGTGATATCTTCCTAACATTTGTAGGATTCCTTTTGTGGTGGCCTGGCTGCTGCCACGGGAGGTGCACAAGGAAGTGGTGGTGTAACCTGTGCAGACAAAGCACTTTCTTTTACCTGCATTCTTGTTAGAAGATAAGGTAGTCTTGTACATGCTCACCAGTCAGAGGGTTCGGATGCCAAATGGTTGGGTGATTAGACGGATTTTGAGAACGCTAATTAAAATGTAATTTATGTAATACAATAATACACATTTAATTCCAGTAAGTACTTATGACTTAAATTTGAAAACGTAGGGTAATGCTCTTAATTCATAGAAGTCCCAATAACCATAACTGCCTTGACAATCGTTTACACAGAGTAATGGCCAAAAGAGAGAAGAGAGTAGAAAGGCCTGAAACTTTTTTCCATATAATTTTTGACCATTTGACTCTGAAGGGAAAAAATGGAGGAAAAATCAAAATGAATCAAGATGAATAACAATAAGCAGTATTAATTGAGTGCCACACGCTAAATTCAGTCCTTCAAATATTGCTGTGAAATCGGTAAAGTTATACTATTTACATTTTATAGATGAGGAAGCCAAGTTGGGAGCAGTTAAACAACTTTCCAACTAAAAGGAGGCAGAGCCACGATGTGAAGGCAACTGTAGCTTTACTGCAGAGACCAGGCACTTAACCACTATGCTCTACTGCCATCTAGGACCCAATACACAAATATGCATCATATTCATAACGCCATTTCCTTTGACATTTTGATTGACCTTGGAGTTAAAATGAAGCTAAAACCTTTTTCTTCCTCACATTTACTTGTAAAATTTCTTTTTTTTTTTTTTATAATTTTGTTTATTTATTTTTCCTCCCAAAGCCCCAGTAGATAGTTGTATGTCATAGTTGCACATCCTTCTAGTTGCTGTATGTGGGCCGCGGCCTCAGCGTGGCCAGAGAAGCGGTGCGTGGGTGCACGCCCAGGATCCGAACCCCGGTCGCCAGCAGCGGAGCGCGCACACTTAACCGCTAAGCCATGGGGCCAGCCCTACTTGTAAAATTTCATTGCCAGTTAAATATACTAGACTGATTGTCCCTAATCTGTCTCCAATACAATTCAAATTAGATTTAAGTACTGGCTTACAATCAGGACTTATTTAGAATCATGAAACAATTTGTTTTATTTTGTTTTGTTCTTTTTCTTTTTAATTTTTTTTGGTTTTTTTGCTGAGGAAGATTCACGCTGAGCTAACATCCATTGCCAATCTTCCTCTTTTCTTGCTTGAGGAAGATGAGCCCTGAGCTAACATCTCTGCCAGTCTTCCTCTATGTTGCATATGGGATACCTCCACAGCATGGCTGACAAGTGGAATAGGTCTACACCTCGGATCTGAAACCCCCTAACCCGAACCTGGGCTGCCGAAACAGAACGGTGGGAACTTTAACCACTCGGCCACAGGGATGGCCCCTGTTTTGTTTTGTTTTTTAAGATAAAGGCAATTATTTTAAATTACTGAACATTTCCTTTTCTTTCATCAAGACATTTTTTTTTGCAAGATGCAAGGAAATTTGAGCCAAGGTATAGATTTAGCCAAGTTTTTAAGGGTTTTTTGGTTTTTTCTTTGTTATTGATTTTCTTTCTTGAAGGACAGATAGGATCAAAAGAGAAATTAAATTTTCTACCTTTGGTGTTTGAGATAGTGACTGAGATCCCAAGAACAGATTCAATCCCTAGTTAAGATTGTCCTCAGGGAATCTTCCCACTGTGTTCCCAAAATCACATGCTGAGTATGTTTGTTTACAGTCGTGCGCTTGGTTACGCAGCGTGTGTGTTTCTTACAGTTGACCTGGACAGGCTCAATGATGATGTCAAGCGGTACAGTTGCACTCCCCGGAATTACTCAGTCAACTTAAGAGAGGAGCTGAAGCTAACCAATGTCGTCTTCTTTCCACGTTGCCTCCTCGTGCAGCGCTGTGGAGGCAATTGTGGCTGTGGAACTGTCAACTGGAAGTCCTGTACGTGTAATTCAGGGAAAACCGTGAAAAAGTATCACGAGGTATGTCATGCTCTAATTTCTCGCAGTGCTGCATTTAGCCCTTTTCAGCTGCATCAGTCATGTAATCTCTAGGGTGCTGGAATTCAGGGTCACTGCATGCAGTTGTTCAGATTGTTCACTGCACAAGGGCACTCAGCCAGGGCAGGGGATGATTGGGAGCTGAACTCATACTCGTACTAAACTTATCAAGCCAAGTGCCCTGGGGAGGGGCTAAGTCCATCCTGAAGAAGGGATTCCTTTTTCTGATTCTCACAACAAACCATGTGGGTTGACAACATCCTTGTTAGAATATGTAATCGATCAAATGTATGGTGCAGTAATGTCAGAGTTTACTTGGCTTCCTTATAGAAATATGATGATATTCATTTACAGGATATGACTCACAAATCTAACTTGCTTTAAGAAAATGCTAGGAGCCAAACTTTAATTCAATCAAGTCATTAAAAAATTAAGCAAAGATAGCAAAATATAAATTGTCATAAAATATACATTGTCAGAAACCTTTTAATTCTCTAAATGTGAAAGTATTTTTCTTCTAGAAATACTAATTTTTCCTAAATACTATTGAGTGCTACCTGGAGAATCAGCTGAGAAATTATGCAAAAATAAGCAAAAGAAAATATAAAGATATAAGAGGAACAAAAATTTAAGGAGAACAGTAACCTTTAATAATAATAGCAACAAACACTCATGAGCATTTACAGTGTGCCAGGCACTATGGTAAGTAATCATCAGCTCACTTAGCAGTTTCTCAGCAATGTTGTGAGGGTGCTGTTTTTAATCTCTTACACATGAGTGAACTGAGGCCTGAGGGGATCAGTAAGTTGACCATTGTGACATGGTCAATAAGGTCAATAAATTGCAGAGCCAGGACCTAAACTCTAATCAACTGGTTCCAGAGTCTATGTTCTTATCACTAGTAACACTGTGCTCTCTCCTTTCAAATATAAAGCACTTTATTGAGCATTAAAGAAAGAGTAGACTTGGGGGCCGGCCCCGAGGCATAGTGGTTTAAGTTCAGCACACTCCACTTTGGTGGCCCAGGTTC